TTGGTTGGGGGGGGGGGGCAGTGGCCAGAGTCCACAGTGGCTGGAAGGCCGGTGAGGGAGAAGTGGCCTCTCATGACAAAAATCCAGCACTCTTCAGCTTCTCTCTTGCATGCTGACTATACCCACTTCATTTAATCCACACAAGAGTCCTCAAGGACAGGTGATGCCCCACACCCAAGTACTGGCTAAGCTGACTCTTAGGATGGTCCCCAGGCATCCTCCTGCCCCAACCACAGACACCAAGTGATCCTGTTTGTTTTGTTTTTATTGAACTGTAATTCACATGCCATATAATTAACCCATTTAAAATGTTCTGTGCTTTTTGTTATATTACATTATTCTAAAACTTTCATAAAACAAGTACTATAAAATTTGTTACATTAAATTATATTCACAGTGTTGTGCAACCATCACCACTATAGACTGTAATTCCCCATTCCTAACTCCTCCCTGTACTCCCCGACTGTGATCTTTCTGTCTTGCTGAACTTGCCTACTCTGGCTGGACTTTTCACATAGGTGCAATCAAGTCTATCTTCCCTCACTTTACATGATATTTCCTATGATTATCCATTCCATAGCACGTATCAGTGCTTCATTCCTTTCTATGGCTGAGTAGTATCGCACTATAAGAAAGGACCTTTTGGCTTCTGTGAGTAATGCTGCTATGAACCTGTGTATAAGGATCTGTTTGACTTCCTGCTTCCACTTTTGGTTAATATCTAGAAGTGGAATTATGGAGTCACACAGTACCTTTGAAGATCCAAGTATTTTCCACAGTGATCGCACTGTTTTAGAATTCCACCAGCTGTTCAAGCACTTTGCTAGGGCTCCACATCTTCACTAATGCTTATTTTATTTTCATTTTATTACTTTAGCCATCCTAGCAAGTATGAGATTTATGTATCTATGATGATTATTGATGTTGAGTGTCTTTCTGTGTGCTTATCAGCAAAGCTGACTTATAAGATTTTTAACCTTTTCCCCCTAATATTCCTAGGAATTTCATGCTGTAATGTTCAACTTCAGAGATTCAAGGTTATCTCTTAAACTGTGTGCAATAACAGAGTGAAAGGGCCATGAGCCTGGTCCAAGTTTACAGAAAATAGAAAGGAAGAGGCTTATGGAGTGAGAAAAGCCAGGATTGGAAGGGTGGTTAGACTGGTTCCACCTCAGGACCGAGGATGGAAGTGTGTCCCAATGGAAGGTAGGTTTTTTGACAGGAAGTGGTGTGGAAGTGGCAAGCAGAAGATTTCACTTGACTCTCAAAGGAAGAAGCTTATGGAGTGAGAAAAGCCAGGACTGGAAGGGTGGTTAGACTGGTTCCACCTCAGGACCGAGGATGGAAGTGTGTCCCAATGGAAGGTGGGTTTTTTGACAGGAAACAGTGTGGAAGTGGCAAGCAGAAGATTTCGCTTGACTCTCTGGACTGGAACAGAAGTGACGACTCAGTTTCTCACTTGTGATGTCCCATTCAGGGACTACACACAGGCGGGCTCCAGGTGTGGTGCAGCACCTGCTTGGGACACCTCTGCTCTGCCTCCACTGCTAGGCTTCCTTCCGGGCTGACCCCTTGAGGACTGTACACAAACAGGAGACCCCTTCCTCCGCGCACTAACGTTCTTATGTCCATTCCATCCTTGGGGCCACCTGAGGATGAGTCTCACATGCCAGCCCCTCTCCCCACCAGCTGGGGTGGGGTCCACATGCGGGAGGAGGGCAGGGCAGGGTGCTGGGTCAGCACCACCACTAGTCCAAGACCCTAACTGCTGAGGGTGGTCCACAAATCAGGAGCAAGAACCAGCAAGAAATAGCAGCATTGCCAGTGCCACAGCCAGGATAGTTATCACCTCCCTAAACCTAGGGTGGAGCATGCCTGACAGAGAAAGTGGTATCTTCGTGTCGTAGCTATGTCATTTCTCAAAATAGTGTAGAACTGTGGGGTCAGGGATTTAGCACAGAGGTACCGTGCCTGCCTTGGAAGCGCAAGGCTCTGAGTTTGATCTCTGGTACCCAAAAAACCCCCCCAAAACAAATAAGAACTATGTATTAAAAGCTGTCTAGGGGCTGGGGATTTAGCTCAGTGGTTCCGCCGCCTGCCTGGCAAGCACAAGGTCCCGAGTTCGATCCCCAGTACCAAAAAAAAAAACTGTCTATAAATTCTGTAACTATTGAGAGCTCTCTAAATAGTACAGCTCTATCCCCTGTTACCTGTAAAAAGCATAACTGTCAGTAGCTGTCTGTAATTGTGTGTCTGTGTACCTGGGGCCTTGCACACATGACTGACTGCATTAGCAGCTGTCTGTAGGAAGGCGGCTCACATTCTGTTCCTCAGCAGTGTGGGTGTTAGCACATCACTGACTCTAGTGTTGCAGGTTTGCATGTCCACAGGAATGGAAGATGTCATCAGTTGGTTGCTTCCCTGTGCCTTCAAAAGCAGCATGCTCTGTTTTCAGGATTCATTCTGTTTTTATGTTTAGTATTCCCCCAGAGTGCTCCCCACTATGAAACTACTTTCATTTTCTTCTGCCACCACTGCTCTAGGGAGTGTGGGCAGAAGAACATGGCCACATGCCTGTCCCTGCCTCCCACCTCGTTTGAACTGAGGGGAAAGTAACAATAGTACAGCAGAAGTCTGTACTCTCCCTTCAGTGGGATGTATCTGTTTGATTTAATAGATTGTGCTCCATGTGACATTCTCCAGCCTAGCAGTCTTGTGGCCCACAGATATTGAAGCAGGAAACAGTGAGGACCCTGGCACAGATAACTGTTTATCATGAAGATAGGGGCAAAAGCAGCTTTTAATGATGCCGGCGGCTCAGCAAGTGACTCAGTCTCAGGAGCCCTGAATAGAAGTTTGTGCTTCCTTATCTATCTCTTTTTGGGGCTGGGGATGTAGCTCAGTGGTGCCACGCCTGCTTGGGAAGCACAAGGTTCTGAGTTTGATCCTGGTACAAAAAAAATTTTTATATATATATACACACACACACACACACACACACACACACACACACCTCTTTTTACATCTACGAAGCTTAATTCCATTGGCGTTTCCCTGAGAATATAGCAAGCAGGATTTACACAAAGCAGACCAGTGGAGAGGGGGAGAGCAAAGAGTTCTGGCAGGATTTCTGAGTCTGTTACACTCCTGTGATAACAGATTACAGATGTCATGCCTGCTCAGATACATTCTACAAAGAGCATAGTTACCTAATTAACCCATAGTTGCCTAATAACACAGTTAACTCATAGTTGCCCAATTCCATGTGGAGGGGTGGTCTCCTCAGTCTGACTTGTGAGTAAATAAGTAAGCTCATTTTGCTTTTTAGAAACGTAGGATAAGGGCCAGGGATTTAGTTCAGTGGTTTCGCCCCCTGCTGCACAAGTGCAAGGACCTGAGTTCGATCCCCGGTACCAAAAACAAAACAAAACAAAAAACCTAGGATAATATTTTGACTTAGTGAGACTGTTAAGTGGCTGCTGAGGATTTGAGGCCACTGCTCTCCTGCGAGCTGAAGACAGGAGGCAAAAGCAAAAAGATGCCCCCAACCCTGCCTTTCCCGCTGTTCTCATTCATGAGGAGGACTCTGAAGTTTCATTTCTACAAGAGGCCTCATCTGTTGGGGGCCAAACAAGACAAGGTCCAGAGTCTAGGAGCCCCACCAGCCCTGCAGGAGGGGCTGCTCAGGCCTTGCTGCAGCCCAGCCCAGGCATGGGGAATCTGCCTGCCCACACTGGGTGTGACACTGAGCAGGGCTGCAGTCTAGTTTCTTGGAGCCCAGCCTCTGACCCATAGGCCTTCTGGTATTGCCAGCACATGGCATTGGGACAGCTTCAAGTTTGCCCTTATCCCAAGTGGTTTTTGTCATAGTATGACCATCACTTCATGCCTTGTAGCTCTGCTAAACTCTGAGGAGTCTTCATTCTTCAGTAGCCTTTGAGAGCCACCTCCTGTCATTTGTAAAGATAATGATAATTTCCCCTGTGAAAATTACAGGGGACTCTGGCCTTGCTGCGAGCACCAGGCCATAGTCTAGGATGCCTACCTGAGTATGGGCACTGCAGCATTTCTCAAGCATCTTAAGCTGCTGGAGCTGAAGGCCTGGCCTGGGATTGAGGTTCAGGAGCCCAGACCTGGAGCCTGTGTGCATTTCAGCAACAGTGTCTGCATGTTGGGACTCAGAGCTGCCCTTGGTGTTTCTTTGCCCATTTCGAAGCCTGCTTCTCTTGCATGCAGGTACGACAGGCAGTGACCTCTGTGGTAGGGGGCTGGCTGCTGGCTCTGCGGGACCGCTACTCATTCTTTCACAAGCTCATCCCTCTGTTGCTGAGCAGTGTCAGTGACGAGATGCCCGAGATCAGGTGAGTAGCTCTGCAGCGATGGGACCTTATCTTCAGGTGCCTGGAGTCTTTCCTATGGCGGTAGAGGACTCCTCTGCTCCCTGTTTCATCGAGACTTGCTTTTCAGGTTGTCACACACAACAACGATTGTTTCTCTTTGCCTCAGAATCTCGTGTCCACATTCTGTGTCTGAGATCCTGTGGCATATAGATAGTCTCCGTGATTTTAAAGATATTATTGAATCTTATTTATTTATTTATTGGGTGGGACATTACTAGGGATTGAACCCAGGGCCTTTAGACTGAACTGCATACCCTGCCCTTTTTTATTTTTTATTTGGAGACAAGGTCTCACTAAGGGGCTAAATTTCCCAGGTTGGGGTTGAACTTGCAATCCTCCTTCCTTAGCCTCTTGGAGTGCTGGGATTATAGGTGTGCACTACCACACCTGGCCTGTTACATCTTTTTACTATTTTGATCAGGCCCACAGATGGAAATCACCCACCTGTTAGTACTGTCACTACAGGGTCAAAAGCCAGTCAGAATATTGGGGATGGGAGAGCATCCTGCTCTCACCCACTGATTCCTGCTGACTGCACTCCACTTCTCAGCATAGCCATCCAGCTCTGCAGGCCTCTTGCACATGCAGGGGCCCTGGGCCTTACCTCGGCACAGCCTGACTTGTGCTCTGCTTGTTGTGCACAGGCAGTTGGCCACCAGCCTCTGGGAGAAGGTGGGGCTGCAGTGGCAAGAGGAGAACGAGGCTGACCTGAAGGACAAGCTGGACTTCGCCTTGCCACCCCCACCCCACTACCCCCAACAAGGTGAGCACAGGTGGACAGGACAGGCGGGGTGTGAGTGGGGAGTGAGTGCCTGGGCCAGGGCGTTGCTCAGTCAGGAGGCTCCAGAAGTGTGGGGGGCGGGGGTTTCTCCTGTTGGGCTGCATCTCCTGTGACAGCCTGTGCTAAAGTCACCTGCATGTCCTGGGAAGGCAGCAGGCTTCTTCTTCTTCAACCCCTCCTGTGCTCCATGCTGGCCTTTCTCTTCTGGACCAGGTTTATTTTAAAGAAGCTTATGGCCTTCTGAAGCATCCTGATGCTCTACTAGGAGGTGTCCACCCATTCCCTCTGGCACCTAAGCGGGGACACATCACGCTGGGTCCCCATCAACTCTGAGAGTGTACTGTGGGGTAGGGAGGCTGTGTCCTTTTACCAAGAAAAAGCTAGACCAGTAGCTCACAGGTGAGATGAAGTCTGTCCTTCCATGCGTTTTCTAACACTTAGCACATTTCCCCCTGTTGGACCTGCCCTGCCCTTTCCAGCCCTGATCTGTGCACACGTTCGTGCCTGTGTAGTGTGCTTGGTGGGTCTGCACTGAGCCTGTGAAGAAGGCTTGCCGCCCCAACCTACCCCTGTCCCCATACTTCTCTGCCTAATGCCCACCTCTGGCTTCATCTGCCTTGGAAACCCCTTCCCTCTCGGGCAGGTAGGTGTCTCTGAAAGTTGAGTAAAGCTACAGACACTGAGAAGGATGAAAAGTGGGTCACAATGCAACCGAGGTCCAGCAGACCCAGGGAGAGGCTGTGTTGCCCGCCCTGCGGGTGTGGGAGCAGGGGAGGAGCGGTGCTGCAAGCTGTGGGCATGGCTCTAAGACAGTTTCTCATATTCTGTATGGGGTTGATGCTACATTTGGGGCCACAAAGGTCCTGCTTCCCCTTCAGCCTGAGAGTCACAGGCCACCATTTCCCTGTGCTCTGACAGCATCGCTCCCCGGCCCCCCAAGCTGGTAGAAGAGAAAGCATTCAGACTTTGGAAAGGGTGCAAAAATTAGTTGGCAGCAAGGCCTATTCTAACTTACCAAAAAGTCACAGAACACACCACCGTTTTTAAAATGTAGAACTCAGACATAAGGGCTGCTTATGAATTTATTGTTAAATGTGGCCCTGCATCCGGAATGGCAGTGGGCTTCTAAAGGGTTTCTCTCTCTCTTCTCTTGGCTACCTATTCCTATCACTCTGCCAGGCCTCGACACTCATCTCTGAGTGTTTTTTGTTTGTTTGTTTGTTTTTGGTACCGGGGATCAAACTCAGGTCCTTGCGCTTTCGAGACAGGCAGCGTAACCACTGAGCTAAATCCCTGGCCCTCTGATCGTTTTTCGTGGTTCTGAGGATCAAAACCAGGGCTTCATGTGTGCTGTGGAAGTGCTCTACTACTGAGGTACATCCCCAGCACTTTTTGTTTTGAGACAGGATCTTACTAAGTTAATCACTGTGGCCTCTAACTTGGGATCCACCTGCCTCAGCCTCCCAAGTAGCTGAGAGTACAGGTGTATGCCATGGCAGGCTCCTGGCTTGCCTCTGGGGTGTTCATGAAAGATCTCAGCTGGGCTCTGGTCATCAGTTGGATGATGGTTCTATGTCCACCTAACTAATTCTGTGCAGAAACTGAAATGTGTAAAGCCATCCCCCACCTGCTCCCTAGGGTTCACCCCACACATCCATAGAAAGTCCAGCACTTGTCAATTGGACGCAAGGCTGGCCTTGTGATAGGGACATTTTCAACCTTGACAGTATTGTTAACAGATCCCTCTGCAGAGAGGGAGGAAGGCATTGGGGCTGCTGACTGCTTTGGGGAGAGACCATCCTTGGAATGTGATGAACAGCGAGACAGAGGAAGGCGTATGTGCACACAAAGGCACACACCACCACGTATGTTCCCAGGTGCACATGTACTTCTGCTCCGCGCACTGACAGAGCCTCTCCTGTGCAGGTCCCTAGGGAAAGCTGTGGCCGCGCTCCTCTGGCACCTCCTCATTAGGAGTATAGTATGTTGGGACTTGCGATGTGTCTGACTGGTCTGGTTGCTGGTACATTCTGAGGGTTACAGAGGAGTTATGCTCAGAATTTTTGTTTCAGCTACAACAGCATAAATTTAGAATTGAATCACAGTAAAGTTAGTGACACAAACCCTGGATTTCACTCGATTTTTAGCATTTGAATTTTAAATGAAACTTTTTAGATTTTTTTTTCAGTATTTCTAGTATCAGGGCAGGTCAGCCTCCTGCTCAGACCCTCACGACATCCTCCCTTTCCAACCCGAGTCCCGCACCTGGCCTGCTGGCCGCCTCCAGCTCTAGTGAGGCGCTTGCCCCAGGCAACCATACTCCATCCACCTCTCAACTGTGGTAGTTTGTGCCCCCAAAATGTACCCTCTAGAGCTGTGGGCCTGTAAGCTTTGGCCACCATCACCTGTGGAACAGAGAGGGGCTCCATCACCCGGATTGTCCCAGGTGCCCTGGCACCAGCCACCTGGTGTTCTGTCCCATGGGGATGAAATCCTGCCCTCTCGGCCAAGTGCTTTCTGACTGCTCTGCTCAGCACAGTACTTCTGTGTTCTGTGGACCACAGCCAGGTGGTTTCTGGTCCTGGATGTTCACAAATACCCCCCAGAGAGACATTTCCCTGTAGGATCCATGTGGATGTTTGAGGGTGGGGTTGTGGCCAGATGAAAACTGTACATCTAATTCTGAGAGACCCTGGCTACAACACCGCTTGTTCGCTGTGTGAGACATTTTGAGTTGTTGCCATCTCAGGTGGGTGTCCACTGCTCAGTGCTCGGCAGTGTTTGGTGTCCTCGGCACTCAGTGTCCTGTACTTTTATACCTTCTCCGTGTGTATTCTTTGGTTGGTTGTTCAGATCTCTTGCTCATTAATTGAACTGGTGTTCTCATTTTTTTATTACAGCATTTTCAGAATTCTTCATGTATTCCGGATATGATTCTTTGTCATATCTGTGTACTGCAGTCATTTCTGAGAGGGGTGCCCTTGCACTTCCTCATTTCCACCTGAGCATGGGGCTTCAGCTCCCGCCTCTCCCCACAGGGGCCCGTTCCCAGCAGGTACCTCCATTTTTTCACCTTGCCTGACAGCAAGCTGGCCTCATGTTGCCCATGCCACCCCCCACTGCCGAGCCAGTCATGTCTGCCCCAGTTCCCAGCCTGGGGCCAATGACTCAGGTGGGCACTGGGGTGCTGTGTCCTCTTCCTGCACAAGTGGACAGTTTGATGGGTGGAATTGAGCCCGAGAGTGAACAGACCACAGTTAATGATGTATCAGATCACAGCTGGGACACATTGCACAGGTGGGTGTGAAGACCGGACTAGAGGCAGGGTCTGGGTAAGGGATTTGACCCCTTTTCCTAAGAAATAAGGTAGAAATATGGCCTGTGCCATAATTTGCTGCCAGCTTTGGAAACACACATCAGCTTCCTGTTAAATACTAAGATACATCTCCACTGTGGAACCAAGCAGAGTGTGGGACACACCAAAGAGGCACCGCCTGCCTCTTCACATCACCGTTGAGAGCCACATGCTCTCATCTGCAGAAGCACAAGTCCACCCTTGATGCACCTCTGATGACCACCCTGCACATCGCCACAGCAGGGTTTCTGGTGACAGCTGGTTCCGGAGTCCTTTTTTTGTTGAAACAATCTTTCTGTTGGGATTGTTTTCCCACCATGCTTGAGTGCCGAGGGAAGCATGTCTTCAGAATGGTGAATGGCTGCCAGACCTTTTAACACAGGATAGAGATCCTTTTTCAAAACCCTGTTCTAGAAATCAGTAGAGCTGGCTTGAATCAGGATCACTATGATATAGAATACTTTCTACACAATTGCCCTTTTGTGTTTTTGTACCTGCTCTGCATCTTTGGAGAGATGGGGCTTGAATAGAAGTTGTCAGAAATGTCACACATGCAGAAAAGGAGAAGCAGACTGGAAAACTGGTTTGCATGGTGTGGAGCCAGCAGGTCCCCTGCGTGGAGCAGCTTTGGCTAGGGAAGAAGGCATTTCCCAGCCAGGACAGGAGGCTCCTTCTAGAGGGCAGCTAGACGTTGCGATAGCACCCTCCCCGTGCAGACAGGGAGCAAAGGGGTTAAATGGCTTGTAGATCCATGTCCCTGAGCACAGAGGCCGTGTGCCTAACTCCCCACCCTCCATTCTTGGATTCTCTCCTTTTTTTTTTGATACGGGGTTTCTCTTTGTGACCCAGGTCAGCTTGGAACTTGCCATCCTCCCGCCTCACAAGGATTGTCCTACTTTCCGAGTAGCTGGGATTACAAGCATGTGCCACTACGCCCTGTATGCCTCTGCTTTCACAAATAGTCAACACCTTATTGCAGAGACCCAGTGAACTTCCTATGCGTCTATGATAGCTTTTAAATAATTACGGTAGAGGGGAGGCCTGCCATCAGTCTCAAATGAACAAGTCAGGAAATTGGTGAACTGTTTGCCTGCCCGCAATTAAATTTCACTTAGTCTAATTATGCAAAAAATAAGATGCTTTGATATTCCATGTGCTTCTGGCCCGCCCACCTTCCAGACTTCCCACTGACCTCCCTTATCTGAGAAGCAGGGAGGATTGTGTTATAAAATCAGCAGGACAGGAGAGCCTGGCCCTGTTTTTCAAAGCCAGGTCCTCTTCAGAGCTCACAGAGGCCACCTGTCACCTGTACCACATGGTCCTGGGTCTGAATCGGTTCTGGAAGTCCTGTTTGGCGTCCTTAGCTCCACTGTCATGGTGGCCTCAGTGTCCTGAATCGATTAAAAATGTTGACTTTTCATGGTCATTTTAACTTTGAGGAAGAGCCAGAGTTGCCCAGTGCCAAATCCAATGAATAAGATGGATAAGGATACATGTTTTTATGTCATGTTTTTATGAGCCTGCTTTTCCATTGAATATTACTCGGATTATTGTAAAGACACTTATGGAAGAATACTTCCAGATCTGCTTCTGCAAGTGGCAAGAATGGTAGAATAAGCACGTTCAA